ATATATATATATATATATATATGTATATATATATATATATGTATATATATATATAAAGTAATAAAAAGAATAACAAGGATAAACATGAACCTATGACTTGTAAAGCGACCTAGGAGCAGTACGCAGACCCGGATATATAAAAAAAGAAAGAAAAACAGAAGCAATAATTTATGAAGTAATTGCAATCTTTCCAAACATTTGTAAACTAGAGAGGACTTCAACTCTTTTCAGATGTAATTCTTTATTTCAATTTCGTGCAGCATTTCTTCCATGCGGTTTCGTTAAACTGTCATTTTCTTCCATTTTTCTTCACAAAGTAATAATAAATGGATGTGGTTTACAGATTTAAACACCCAGATTAAGTGATAAGAGCAGTAAATCAAATTAGTTTGTCACATATAGAGTCGAATTAAATCACGAATCTGAGAATGCACTTGTCGCAAGTCGGTTGATCTAAAAAATCAAAAATCTGAAACTATCGATCGATTTCAGATGGAGTAAATAGAAAGTGTGTATTTCTGGAATTTCTAAGAAAATAATCACCGGAAGTTAGATAAGTGGGAAGTTATTAGACTCATGGAATGGAATTTTCGCAACTTACTCCAGCACATTTTTGTGGAACCATTCCAGTTGTTCTACTGTTGCACAAAGACCCTCATTGTAAGGAAATTTCGCCAGTGTTGCTTTCAACCAGACAGATAATTGCTGAAAAAATTTTCATTCTTCAAAATTATGTCCAATTTCAGAAAGCTATGTATTCCTAGCATTGAGACTTTTCAACACCATGCTCATGCTCAACAGACACACAACAACAACAAAAATCATAATATTTTCAAATGTCTTCTTGAACTATTTAATAACAGATACCTCCTTTGACAGTTTACCAATTAAATAGATAATTTCAGCCATATCGCGCTTTAAAGTACCCGACACGTTGAACACAGCCGCTTGAAGAGATCCACTAATCAGTCTTTCACCGTATTTTACAAAAAGCTGTTCAGCTCCTTCTACACCTGCATCTCGATAATTGGACTGCAATATGATATTATTTAGCATTCACGAAATTCTATTTTATTTAAGACTGTTTTCAATTTGTTTATAAGTAATTGAATGTTTTCATCTTTTTACAAACAATTAATTAAACCAAATTAATAAATTTAATTAGTATGAAATTTCCTTCTTCACATAACTGTGAAAGGAAAGACCTTTCCAAAATTGTTCCTTTGACTAGTGATTCCTAATCGATGGTTCGCGAGAATTAGAATTTGGACTACGTGGACTATTAAAAATTAAGTTCCTTGTTTTTTAATATTGTAACACTATTCCAAAGTTACTAATATGTTAGAAGTTTTAAATAAAATGTATTTCAAATTGACAGAATTTATTATTTTCGAATCTGCTAGTCCATGCTACAGATAAAAAAATCAAACGGTCTTTGGTCAACAAAAGTTGGGAACCACTACTTTTCATAATTTTCGAGTTTTAAGAAATCCAAAGCCTCTCCTACCTTTCTTGCGATAAGTAACGATGTAATACATTCGGAAAAGAACTTAGTAACTGATCTGTTTGCATCAACATGATCAACATCCAGACCGACAAGTCCACATTCAAACAACTGCGAGCTCATTGGTTCTTGGAAAAATACTGACGGTGCACGCTGCACGAACCTAAAACAGAGGGCTTTCGAGTTTATTGCTACTAACTTTTGTACTCTTCAAACAGAAGATTTTCCAGTTCATGGTTGAGACTAGAAGAATATCAAAAAGATCACCTAATAGCCAATCTAAACATATCATCAATTGTATCTGGGTGGTTGCGAAAACCATTTTGTTCTTGCAGGAGTTTGAACGAATCGTTACATAAAATCTGTAAATATAATAAAATCTGAAAAAGTGGCATCCATATTTGCCAACCTGAAGGAACACTTCTGAACTGTGCGTTACATATTCCACTTTTTTAAATCTGGACATTCTGTGAATTAACATCCATTGCTATAGGATTAAACACTGCAAATAATATAATCCTTCAATAAAAATTGAGCAAACCATCAATCGGCAAGAAAAGTTTACGTTAAGCATATGAACTAATCCGGATCGACAGTTATCCAAATGACCATATTCGTCAACTAAAATACTGGCCAAATACAGGAAGCATGAATGAGGGTGACGATTATATATATCAACCATCTGAAAATTATACTTTGAGACGCTTAAGATTTAAGACGACTAAGTTAAATTTCGCAAACTATGTTTAAAATTAAATTAAAAGAAACATGCATATCGCTGATGCAACTGGACAACAAATAATTAAAAAGATATTCCAGCACATGTCCGCTGATAAAGAACCTGCTTTTTTAGAAATCTGAATAATTTACCTGTTCAACAAGGGATTCAATAAAAGTAATAGAATGGACTTCAAGAAAGCGTATCATAAATCGTATCGCACGACAGCAATGCTCAACGACTCGAGTATTCTTTTCATATTTTCTGCAAGTTTCCAAAACTAATGGCCAAACTTCTTCCACGGTTGCAATCCATAATGTCGGGACATTATCGTTTGTATTTGCGGAGCTTCCTGAGCAGAAATAAATTAAATGAAATAAATTAACAGATATAAATAACTACCAGTAAGCTCATAATCTATATGATTTTGAAGAAATATGATAATAAATACCATTTTGAACGGTATTTTTCGGATTGCATGCTTGGTGCGTCCAGGGCTGAACATGTCGAAAGATTGCTGCTATTCTATCGACCCATAAAACTGGATCACGACTCAAAAGATACCATGAATCTGATGCGTTTTCGTTGCTGTCTTGTGATTCGCTAGCTAATATATCTGCCTTTGATTTAAGGAGCTTAAAGAAAAGAATATTCGGCGAAATAAAATGACAAATAAGATGTTTAAATAAAATTTAGCGAAAGAAAATTTTCAGAAGATATGGTTTACACAAGAAATAATAAAATTTTGGGAATGAAATTTACTGCGGCCAAACGTGTCATTTGGGGTCCAATCAAGTGTCTTAATCGAGTTGCAGTTTCTTCTCCTGGTAAACCATTCAGCATTGAAGAACAGGCTAAAAAAATTGCAATAAACTTTGCTGCTAGTCATTTACAAACAATTTTTAATAATGATCTCCGCATGGTATTATTCTAAATATATGACGACTTGATAATAGTTTTTACGAACGTTTCCTGTCGAAATCAGCAGATTTAAAAGTGGAGTAAGAAATGATCCAGATTATTGGTTTCAGAGACAAAGGTAAATATGTTAGATAAATCAATATTCAGAAAAGCAGCAATAAGCATACACCGAAATTAAAAAAAATTTATGAGGACTCTTAATTTTTTTCATGAGGCAAAATAAAGGATAAGGAGTTGATCTAAAAAAAAAGAAAGAAATATTTTACATGAAACTCTGACTAATAATATATAAATGGAAGCAAGAGTTAATCAATATAAATAAAAGAAAGTGAACCTTGAAGAAGTAAGAGGATGGAATTTTCCAGCTGCTGTCCTCTGTTTTCACCAGTTTCTAGGAATGGAATGATGGCAAATATAGATTCAAAATGCTCCAAACAACTGCTTTCGCATTTTTCACAGATTCCATAAAGAGATTCGGAAGCAGCACGAACAAAGCACGGCTTTTGTACTTTATCCAGCAACCAAGTAACACACGGTTCTAAATGAAATCTTCCTAAAAGTTCAAAATCAGCAAATACTTACGTCAACGAAAAAATTTTTGAAAATCAGTAAAGTTAAGCGAAGCTCTCTTCGAAATACTACATTGAAGTAAACGACAAACCTTGATATTGTCCATTTTCATGCAACCAATCAATTAAATTCCCAAGCAATTTAATAGAGGTATTAGTCAGTATCGGGTGAGATGTAACCGGCATAACCAGAACAGCATGAACCAAAAGAGGAACCACTGTTTCTTCCGTTCTAAAATCCAATAAACCAATAGCTGGAGAAAAAATTGCAGTGATAACAAAAAAAAAAAATAATTGGACATCTTATGATATCATTTCACAATAATGTGCACAAAATCAACAAGAATAACATCATGAATCAGATACTGCAATTATTTCCACATTACTGCGTATGTCACGAATAAGTGCTTCAAAGTCGTTTGCCCTAGTCTATTCGAAGTTACCACTTATTTATAAAAATTTGTTTCACCAGAAGTGAAATTTTTTTTTTATTCAACTTAGCTCTACTGTGATTCAAGATATACTATATAAGATCAAATACCAACTAAGGGACGAAAAAAAACTTACGGAAGAACGTTATGTACGATCACTGAAATGATATACAAAGCAGCTTCCGATTCATCCCAAGAACCTGATGAAACCGACTGCAGTATTGAGAACATCTACAAAACACTGCGGCGAATTCATAGTCAAAATTAAACCAATTCATTAATCTTCAGTTTCTTTCGGAAAAATCCCTCGATTATTCCTAAACTAATGAATTAAGTCAGTAATTGTGTCAGGTTTTCCTCAACATATTTGTGGAAATATCTGAATCAGATTCAAATGTTCGCCCTTTTCCCTATTCTCACAATCCTTACGAGATTACTGTTCAACTCATATTTTATAGAACAAAGAATTACAATGTGCACTGACATCTGAACATAAAATTCTTGCTAGTATATTAAAATACATACACTTTGGATGCATCGATCAGTTCCGACGATAAAAACAACGTCCTTGAGTGTGTCGGAAACTTGACCGCGAAATTCAACGAAATCATCATTCTCATCCGGAATATCTTCCTGATCGGTGTCAAAGCGACAGTGTTTGTAGAGTGCCATAATATACCTTAATCAAATATATGAAGATATAAATATTCCACTTTACCAAAGAAATAATACAAAAGGATGTGAGCAACAACAATATTTGAATCTGAAACAATTCGCTGACTGTGTTTATTATTTTTCTAGATCTAAGAGTAATAAGATCATTCTCTAACACATATTTCACACAAACCAACCTATTTCTTTCATATAACAAGAAGCACAACGTAAACTATCCAACCTTTCAATGTACGGTTTGAATTGAGCATTCAACTCATCGTCGTTTCTTTCATAGAGATATTCAGAAAGGCGGTACCAGATATTGAATGTCATTTCCACAAGCTAAACAGCTTTTTAATGGAAATTATACTGCGAAATACAAAAACTTAATCCCAAACATTATGAAGTTAAACAAGAAATCATAACTAACATTATAATCGTGATAACCAGCCAGGAGAAGGAGCAGTTCGATGCTTCGGAAATCACCAAGGCCTTCTCCTGGCTCTTGGATCATACATTCTAGGAGTGATTCACTTAATTCACAAAACACCCGTGCATATCCTTGCAATCTGGAAATTCAATTTCAATATATTATTGCTGCTTCGCTGAAGTCATGTTATTTTTTTTTTTTCAATGAGAAAAATCAGTTTACATAATCACTAAATGTCGCAAAACAATACTGATCCAAAATTCAGATCCTAAGAGATTATAAAAATAAACCTATCAAAATCATCGTTAGCAACTGCCATTGAAAAGCTGTCCGTCATCCCATAGCAAGCGGTTTGCAAAGCTACAGCTAGAGCACGATTAACATTGGTATCTTCAGCACGATATAACGCTGATACAATACATTCACAAGCCGAATCGTGCAATGAATGAGGCGAATTTGGATTCTGCTGCAAAAAAAAAATTTAGAGATATACGTGTTGCAAAAAGCCGATTAACCACCAATTTACTACTTTCTTTTTCTTCTTCTTTCTTCTCAGAAGATATTAGTTCCGGTTTTGGTTTGTTTCGTCCCCTTAAACAAAATAAATCAAAGCTAATTTTCTGAATCCCAACTGAAAATTTAAATAGACAAAGAAATTTCAACACCATGCAAAGAGCAAGGAAATTCAAACCAGAAGTGAGAAAACATATTTGAGCAGGTCACTTGTTGCAATATCGTCAGTTGGAATCAGCGGATTTAGCAACCAGGAGCTGAAGCAGCTTAGAACTCTTTTCAGGATTGCATCGTCATTACCATTAAAAACACAAACTTGACTCTGCAAGAAGATTTAATGGGGCAATACTGCACATTAGTATGCATAAACACATTTTGATAAGCTGTGCAACCAAAAAAGAAAATCCATGCGATCCACTTTTTTTAAGAATTAACACCCATTTGGCCAGGCTTAAAGAAGTTCATAATAAGAACTCACTAGAAAATGAATGACTGCCTGTGTCTTCTGAGCCAGTTCGGTGTTAACTGCACGGCGTCGATTCTCACCAATCCTCAGATGTGTGCTTTGCACCTCTTCTGGCAGAGTTTTCAAAAAAGTAAGTAAAACAGGTGTTTTGTCAGGTGTCCCAAACCTGCAAGCAGCATGGAAAAGTGGACAAATGAGGTCTGTTTACATGAAAGCAGTGACATTCATAATCAAAAGAAGACTTAAATATTGAAAGAATAAATTAGAGAACTGCGTTTTTAACTTATCGATATCCATAAAAAATAAATGAAAAATATTTTCTCAATGCTGAAGTAAGCTGTTTTCAGACAAACACCTAAGGTTACATAGCGGAAAATGCAGTCGTTTTTCTGGGCATTTACAACAAAACATACCTTTCAAGGATTTCCGCAACAAAATTAGTCCATTCCGGCACTTGTAAATAAAGATCGGAGAGCGCAAGGCAGAGCTGTGTTATGATTACTGAATTCCTTTCAAGTGGATAAGATTCATAGCTCCTGAAATAGATGTGTTCGTCAATTATCGCAAATGGAGTGCCTTTACTGAACGGGCAAAACAGCATTGAGTTTTGATTTTGAAAAACTATCAAAATGAAAAATTATGGGATAAAAACTTTAAAATACAATGAAAAAAATGACATGACTCAACGTCTTCAACTGCAACTTTGCAACGCAATGACTGATCAAATGAAAAGAACGACATTCCGTAAAAGACAAAAAAAAAAAAAAAAAGTTGAAAAATATAGAGCAAACAAATCAAATCTGCCTCTTGTATAAGGCTAAAATATAACTTGATTAAATAAGCCTAAATGTAACATAAACAAATATGCTGACGACAAAAACAAGAACCTCAAATGATTGATTAGCGAATCCCTCAATGATAAGTATGAAGAAGATGGCAATTCCTTCATAGAGTGCAACAATTTTTGCCTCATCGTTTGAGCAGCAAAGTAACTGGTTGTCGAATCTCGATGTTCAGATAATATACGATCACAAATGGACCACGAATATACCTGCAACAATACCAAATTTATCCTATATTTCGTAAACGTTCATGTACGAGGGCTCTTTTTTAAGAATAAAAACTTACGGATTTTTGAAATTCTCCAAGCCAGATGCTAGCTTTGCTGCACGCAGTACTGTCAGACCCATTTAGTACCGCAATTGCATGATACACCGTCTCGATATTATCCATTCTTCAACGACTTCAACTAAGAATTAACTATTTCTGATTTAAGAATCCATACTGAATCCGATCTCAGAGCAGATCCGCAGTGATAATTTTCTTCGAGAAAAAGTTTTTTAACAGAATGGAGCGATAAGACTTCATCCTTATTATCCTTATTTCTTGTATAACATATTAACTTCGAAAGAAAGCAATACGGAAGCGCAGACAAACCTAAACTGAGGAAAATCAGGTGAGCCGTTGCAAACTGTTTACTCGAGCTTCTTATATCAGTAACTGGACTAGTAGAAAAATGATAAGATTGACCGACTGAGTGATCATGAAACATTACAATAACGATGACAATATATCCTTTTCCTTTTAAAATAATATCAGTGCAGCTGTATTTTAATTTGAATGACACTTTTTGAAAGGATAACCGTTAAGGATTTTTCGTAGTAACGCATTCTAAACATGATCAGCTCATCTAAGAAAAATTTCTCTTCCCCTGAATCTGATCCTACTGCGACCTGTTTTTATACGACGAGGCAGCACAGAAAGACGAAAGCAAATTTTCGAAAACTTTCAGGTAAACCAAAAGTCCTGATGACAAATTACGAAATTCATTGTTGAATTTCGTAATATAGAAACATACAAATGAAGAATGAGAAAAAAAAACCCCTTCAATTTTCGACTATGTATATCTGATATAAGGAATGATTATCGTTCGTTCCGGTCATGATGCCATGCCACTGCATTGAGCAACTAACCAGCATCCTAATGATACGAATCACTATTCACGATTTTGCATTTCCGAAGATTAGGTCCTAAGGAGATTTGAAATATTCTCTCAAACATTTCCCGCCGAGGACATATAAAAAAATCAAAATAAATGCTAACTAATAAAGCGCCATGTTACTGCCAATAACAATGTGAGGAAGAAAATTGACCAGTCAAAAGAGCAATTAAACACACTGAAGTTTGATACTTTATTTATGAAGGAAATGAAAAGCGTACAACAGAAAAAACAGTACATTAAACATCTGAAAATCTAGAAATCATCATAACTGAGGTCTTATCAGTTCTGCATGGGTGTCGGAATACTTAACATGATGAAAGGCATAAATTAACTAATTTCAAGCTCAAAATTTCACAGGTAAATTTTTCTGAAAGTATCGCAGTCTAGGAAAATCGGTCAAAGCGAAACTGATATAAGAAAAACTTGCAATGGGTGGAAAAAAGTATTTCAGAAGTATAGTGGAAGAAAATTGTTCGCATTGAGGCAAAGACACGACAGAAGGATTATTCAACTTCAAAGCAGAAAATAGAAATATAATATGCATGAGTTCATTGAGACCGAAGAGATAGACATATCGAGTTAATTAAGATAAACATAATGATAGTAATTAAAATAGCAATGATAATAATGACCTGTGCTTTCGAGATTCCTTAATTTTAACATCAGAAGAGGCAACCTATCAGCAAAAACACCAACTATCCCAAACAAGACTGCTAAGTTCCAACTAAGTGCTAAGTAATGAGTTCTCTAATTTAATAACTGAAGACCTTTCTATTCCTTCATTCAGCAGTTCATATGAATCGGAACCATAAGAAAAACAAGTAAAGAACGCTTCACAGTTATGCACTCTAGTCTATAACATATGAAAAAATTATGATCAAAATTTTTCGTTCACCACGTGCTACTGACAGTTCACATAAGCAGAAACTTCAAAATAAAAATAAGTCAATCCTGGAATCAAATAAAGCACGCATGCAGCATGTCTCTGCTGTAAATCCACCCGCATACCTACTCCCACTGATTTGTAATACATGCTGTAAATATCCCATCCGAGACAAATCCTCAGGTTTTGGAAGCGATGGTCCATTGATGGGAAGCACTGCCGCACGGTATACAAATGGTGCACCGCTGATACGAACCAGTGCAAAAGATGCCGTATCGAGACGTTTCTGTTGCGCTTCTGCAATTGGAATGGTTTATACGGTTAAGAAATACAAAAGAAAATAAAAATAACCTATTAATTTGATTGAATTCAACTTCTATCAAATATTTCCAAAATGGATTTGATTTATAGCTGCAAAATTGTCAGAGAATATAGAATTCTCTATACAAATAATACATAATTTCGAATAATTAATTAAAATGATACTTCATTCCTTACCCATTTTAGATTTTTTCCGCCTTGCAGCTTCTTCTTTTTCGGCAAGCTCTGCTTCAATCTGCCGCTTTCTCTGACGATCCAAAATTACTTCTGCAGGCAAATCGGATTCCCGCAGTTCGTCAATTATTGCTTTAGATTTGTTTGAACTAGTTACTTTCCCAGACAACTCCTGAAATTTTCACAGAACTAACCATTTGCAGTGATTTTTGGAACATACCAGTACTAATCGGAGAAAAGTGCTCACTTCATCTCCAACACCCTCTACAAAATGCTTTCTCCTTTTTTGCTCTTCTTCCAACATTTGAAGGATCCATATTTGATCTTCGTCGAGCTAAAAAAGGTTTTTTTCTTTTTTGCGAGCCTGAATTCAAAAATGGCGGACTAACTAATAAAATGATAACTAGGTAGATCTTTTCTATAGCGCTATCTATCATTCCGCTAAGTTATTTTCCCAGTTACCAGTATAATGCAGTTAAGTAAATGTACCTTACGCTTATTTCTTTCGATGAGTTCACTGTTCTCCACTTTAAAACGGTTAACTTCAGCTTCCGTCTCTTCAACATCAATATTATAGGTCAAATTCATGACAATCGTTTCAACTCGTTCCAAATAATTATTGAAATCGCGTAGCGTTGGAAAATCCATTCGTTTCAAATTGTAAATCTAGAGCTGGTTAATAAAGCAAGCAGGGGAGTTGAAAAAAAATTCATAACATCTGAAGCATGATATGACTGCACGAATTCCCACTTTCTCCACCGAACCAACAAAATATGGTGCACTTAACATGAAACTAGAAAGGAAAGATTACCTTTCTAAGTTTTTTACGAATATAATTTTCCTTTTCCACCATAGGGTCATCAAAGATTTGTTCCCAAAATCCTTTTCTCCATAAAATTTTTCCACATTGTGGACAAGGACCACTATTGCGTGCAAACAAATTTTCCACACAGTTCCTAAAACTGCCAAATGTGAAGAACTACCGCACTGAGCTCCATACATGTAATTATACTTCAAAATATTTCCCAATTAATTGATCAGATCATTAAAATTGATCATTTACCTGCACAACGGATGACCACATTCATTAATCATCATCAGCATCTTTCGATTACTATATTCCTTAGCTTTACATTTCGGACATTCGCGCATTTTACACGTTCACGATGATTCCTTTATTGAGTCATTTATTTTATGCGGATTCTTTATCACTGCCTTTCCCCTCCACCACAAGTTTCGAAACAGGATAACTCTGATATAAAGTGGACTGACGACGAATTACTTGCAGTAGTTCCTGACACTTCTAGAAAAGGACACATTTCAAAGCCTAAGTTTCTACCAGCATCATCTGGTGGCGTGACTATTCTTGGGTGAAAGTAAAGTCTCACTGATGAAGTCCTGAATACGCTAGTTTCAGTGCTTGACGGTGATTTAAAAACAGTAATGAATAAAGCTTTAAAATGCTCAGGACGAATGTCCCGAACTGAAATTTGGTAAATTATTTGTAAGAGCGGTCCATAAAGTTTAAAATTACGGAGAACACGGGTACCGTGTGAAATTCGGTTTGTGAGATGTTGTTGTTTTTCACTGCTGCCGTAAAGTGGTCGCGTATTCTTCGTTTGAAAAACTCTCGATAATTATATTGCGGAAACTGGAAAACAATAACAATGCAATAATTTACGAAGAGATAAGCAAAAAATTAACTTTTAGAAGTACTCCAGACATATGGTTTCGATTTACTTCTGACCACCGACTCATAGAAGATGTGGGACACCTAAATCCCAGCTAGGAAAGACGTCACCCTCAGAGGTAACGTGTGAGATCGAGCGTACCCGTGAGGCAGACCGCAGCAGTTGTTTGTAGAGACAGATCCAATCGGCCTGCGGAACACTTCCCATCCGATTCGATCACGCACAACCTCTCGAACCAGCTCCCAAAGATTAAAACGCCTCCTTCCCCTCCGTCTTTTTCCTCCTAATTCTTAACGTCTTCATGCACCGTCCTAAATTTTTATCACTCTTTCGCACCCTCCTCGTTCTAAAAGTTCTCTTCCTTTCTTCATTTCTTTTCGTCATTACATAATCAGCTTATTTCCACAAGTACTCCTACCTCTAACCTAATTTCGCACACTATTTTTGTTTCCCTACTTCTTCTCACTTCACACATTATTCCTTGTTCACAACATACTGCCCGTCTTCTCAAACATACTCCCTATTTCCTGCCATTTTAGCAACTCTCCAAACCATCACATTCAGTCGCTGCTCACTTTATCTGTTGCAGCATTATGTCGGTTTAATTAGGTCGCAGACTTCTCGGCTGTTTGTTATGTTTTGGGGTAGGGATTAGGCTGGATTACTGAATGGAATAAGAAAAGCTTTCCTTGCAAATATTCCAAACCAAGTAGCATAAGAAGCAATTGAGTCAATGCTTTATTTGCTTCATATTTTCTTCCAGTAAGTCAATTGAAAAAGGGGAAATTGAGAATACCGAACCTATGGCAAAAAATTGGCCATTAAGTTTAAATTGTTATTGCTGTGATTTCATTTCGACGGATTCTTGAAAAGCGTTTCCCGCATTCTGCTGATTGCGAAACATTTTCCGTGTAAACAGTTTTCGCAGTGTTTGATGAAATGGTGCCGGTTGGGCAAAAGATAAATTGAATATCGTTGCCGAATTCATTCATTTTTAATGTTATGGTTGGCTTTCATCATAAGCCAGAATCAAATTCTTCCTGTTAACCAATGCTGGCTGAAGGCATTTGATTTTCACGTGCATTTCGTTGTTCCATATGTTGCTTCCATATATCCATGTTTTGATTTCATCGGGATTTAGAAAGCTGTAATAGATCATTCTGATGAGATATCAAACAGCAATCACAACTTCTTAATACAAAGTAAGATTTAGAATTGCCTTGGAATCTACATCCCTCTCAAGTCGTTGAAACGATCATTGCTCCTTATTGAACCATTTCTTGATGGGTTGTTGACGTTTTTTTTTGTACATGTTTTTTTTGACATAACATGGAATTCCGTCACATTTCATATTCCAGTTAAGAAATATTCGTTATTATGCAGAATAGTTATCCTTACTGGACTAATACTTCAAAATGGTGATTCTCTGATTGTCAGGTTAATATTTGATTGGCACTTATCAAACGTGCCTGCTTCCAATGTGCTTTAAATATCAAAGAAAGTCGTTCAGTCCTTCCGCACCTCATCTTGTTGTTATGAGATCAACTTCCATGACTGGTCTTACTATACTCGTCAATTTCTGGTAGTCTGTCAAGACTCTGCTCTTCTCAGAACTTCAACCATTACCATAGTATGTGTTTTTTAGCAGCTTCCAGGTGTAAAAAGTTGTTGGCATGATGAGCTCTCTTTGAGCCTTACGGTCCATGTGAAAAAAATTAGTTGAATTTAAGTTTAAAACAAGTAGCAATTAATAATAATTAGGAAAACACACAAGGCGAGAAATGTGTGTCAAAATGATAGCTCCCCAAAATGATAGCATGAAACAACAAATTTCAGCTATGCGAAGCCGATTTTGAGACCCACTAAACTTGGTCGAAGAACGGACGCGGACAGATTTCTCCATGCGTGTAGGAAATTTTCCTTGATGATAACTGAAATACTATTTGAATAATGTTAGCTAGCAAAATGTCATGATTCAACTAAAAGGAGTTTGTTTAATGGAGTAAATTTTTAAGTAAAGGTGATTTTATTAAATGTTGACTTCAGATCAACTGCAGAGCGAAATGTTGAAGGAAAAACAAAGTCACGGTAAAAGGGCTTCCCTCTTTACCAGTCAGCCGTCTTTACAATTCGAAGAGAACTACGCTTTCAGCTCAGAAATTTTAGAATCAAATTTTTTGAAGATGCAGATTGCTATTCAGTGCTTGGCCTTTTAGCTAAGGCAAAGTTCGACAAGCACTACAATCCCGTCCCCGCAAATATATCACTTTAGTTCCAAATCTGCATTTGGTCAGTATTAGGTCACAAACAACAATGGCAGTAATCCCTCCACATACTGATATTAGGGAAAAGAGATGAATGATACGTGAATGTCCCGAAGATTTATTCTTGATCTTCCTTTCCAGCGACATATATTTACTTTTTTATGCTTTTCATACTAGCGAGCAGTGTACAGATTTCAAACTTTTCTGATCCAAACTTTGAAATCACGTGTTTTTTATTCGATCTATTCACATAAACAAGACGCTATTAATCTTGTCATAATCAACTCTCTTTTACTATGCAAGTAAAAGATGTGGAACACTTTATTTCGAACAAAGGCAAACGAGAATCAGCAAATAAGGATTTTCTAGTGAAAAGACAAAAATGATTAATACAGGTTTCCCCCTCTAATAAAATATCAAAAATTTTGGGATATGTCAGGAAACAAAAGTATTTAAGAAAAAAAAAATATCAAGGACCGATAAATTCAATGTCTCTCATATCTCTGGCTGCTAACGCCAGAGCATCTTCTCAAACGAGAAAAATACATTAATATAATTAATGTAAAATATTATTGATAAGTCCAAATCACCTGGATAATCTTGAATAAATTAGAGAACACAAATTCAACAATTATGTATAAGAATGCCGATGTCATATGCAAATGAATGATCTATATATAAGTGAGATCAAAGAAAGACTTGACGATTTGTGATAATTATGCAGATTTCTTGAGCAATTACAAGTAACGAACGGGGCAAATACAAGAAACAGTAAAATGGCATAAGAAGAATGGCAGATGTTGAATGACATAAAATATGACGCATCAAGTGCTTTCATTTACCTCTACTGCAAAATCCACGATTCAGGAATTTCCTTCCTAACAAAATTAAAGCAATATATCGGTTCGTCTGCAGAACTAAACGGCAGATTCTATACCAAATCCAATTCATCATTTATGTAAGAAAAACGGAAGGGAAGTTTCCGATGATATACTAATTACGTTAAAATTTAAAAGTATATCAAGTATGCAGGAGATGGTTGAAAAATGCCAAGTTCTCATCCACACGTAACTTTTTAAACCGAAGAAAAATAAGAGTAATTATCAATATTTCGAAAAATTGTTTCCTGTAGCACTGGAGAATTCTAAGAAGTGGAACAAAAATAAAATCCCTAAAAATACTACGAGACGAAGGTCGAAGTATGTCAAAGACGCAGAAATAATGCTAAAATTCAGAACCAGGGATGCAAGCGTGGATCCAAACGTGCTAAATTTTCGTCTTGGCGTGCCATTTGAGTTAATTGACCGACATATTCAGCCAAGTTTTCCGCTTTATATAGATCTAAAAGACTTTTTTCATTTTACATTATTAAAAGATACAAGCTAAAAAAAAGTTTTGCTATATGATACAAAACTTCTCGCCTTTAAAAAATTTCGGGACTTCATTTATTCGAGAATTCATTTCTGAAGAAGAAAGGAAAGGGGATATTACTCACACAAAAGCTGCACAAATAAAACAGTTAGTAAGAAAAGATTACAAAATAAGGATTTCAATGAAATGAACAGAAAACTAGCCATTTAACCGGTTTTCCAATAATTTGCCAGCAGTTCGTGCCAGCTTGAAAATTTCTGCCACAGATAACTTCCTCTGTCGCGAATATGCATCCCACAGAAAAAGTTGAGCGTAGGTGACAATTTTCCGTGCGTGTAAGCAACGAATTGTTGCGACTATTGAGCAATTGTAGTGACCTGAACTTTGCAAATGATAATATGAAGCAGTTAACTTTTTAAGTTCAAGTGATCAGTCGCCGGTAAAATATGAAGCTGACTAGTAAAACCATTTGTAATTAATCCAGTCGCCAGCTGACTAGTCTAATGACTAATTCTTTTACTTTACAACCATTAATATGAACCTTCAACAGAGAGACCCAAAAACTTATGCAAATTTGGTGACATTCGGTACGGTACTACTCGATCAACTTCAAGTTCCACTGAAATTTGATATATAGTATAAACAAATCTACAAATATATATATAGCATATATACACCACGGCAATGTTCTCCAGGTAAACCCATTCATCAATCACAGTACAACCCATGCAAATGTATAAATAGAATCACTGTTTTAAAAACAAACATACAAGTTTGAGGCTTTAACCCAAATAGGTAATCGACATTCATTGTTTGCCCCGTCCTCGTATTCAAACATAGGCCATTCATTGTTGCCGGATTAAGATGAAGAATATACTCACAAATGGAAAGCACAGACATATTTAATGCGACCTATCCACGAATTTTTGAATGAATCAATGGAAATAGTGTTAACGTGAATATTAAAAGTTGTTCTTAAACAGCGTTTGGATAATTATCACATTTAGCGCTTTAAGGACCAGGAAGTGAAGATATAGATTTCAGACTAATCAAGGAATTTTATTATCTCTATTTGTTTGTTCTCTTAAATAACTGTGATAAAAATGTTCAGGATATAAAAGAAATCAGTGATGAAAAGGCATTAATGTTTTGTATGCTTTGTATACTCGACCCAACTACTTCTATAATACAACCAAATATCAGCGTAACGCATCAGATATATCTTAGCATTAAACCAAACCTGCTTTCGAAGGGTGTAGTAGTGTGTAGGATCCTCATAACGAGGGATGATCCATTTCGAGAGTGAATCGATCGGCAATATATTTTCCGAAGTTATATAATGAAACTCATCAAGCAATAGCTGATCCGAAATAATGGCGGATTTTGAGATAAGGTCATAAAATCTGTAAATCTGATACTTATTCAACATGCTTAATCAATACACCATCTTATACTTTGAAAAGAATCATTTATCACTATCGCTTTCACAGAAAATTTATCAATTTAAACAGTAAATAAAACCACCGCATTATTTTAGAGAGTTCTGAATTATATCAGGGGAATCAAAAGTTTTCTCCAGGGCGGTAATGACAGAAGTTAAGATTTAATTATTCATTTTGATAAAAACAAACAACAGATAGAATATATATGTGCCTGAGGGATAAAAACAGCCACCACCATAGCAAATCTCAACACGGATATCTTATCAACATCATATTTGCAGTGAATCTTTCAATTTAATTTAAATTTTAAGTACGAATTATTTTTATAATGTATCCACACAACAACTTAGAATTCTTTTTGCACATTAGATAATTTCCTGAAGGACTTCGTGAGCTTTAGTTATTATAACATTTTTAATCGTAGGAAAAGGGCTTACCTCTCGATTAGTTTCGCTGAAAAAGATATATCAGCCTTGTTTTTTAAAATAGCATTTAAAATTTCTTCAAATGTGTAAAGAGAATTCATTTTATTAGTGCATTCCAACAATGACACACCACCGATGTATGCGAAATGAGGAACTGCCAATTGTAGGAATCGTCGGCATGTTTCCTGGAAAAATTACGTTAGTGACTGATGTGTGCTTTATTCATTAGAGCAAATAATTAAATAAAACGATTGACTAGTACGGGAAATTTTTTTGATCAGTTTACAAAGCTAAAGATGATCTTGCAAAGAACAGAAGAAATCTGAACGGGATAAACAAAATAAAGCTGTGGGTAAAATAATGGAGTTGCACGCAACGAAACACGACATCAAACAACGATCAAATTAAGATTTGAGGTATTTGACCTTCTCCTTCGTGAGAAAATGATTGATCAAAGCAAAAAGCTGGTGTATTCCAGAAGCATCCCGGCTTGCATCGTAGTGTTTAGTTAAATAATAACAGTATACCTGGAAAAGCATTACAGTGGTTCATTTATTTCTTCAAATGTTGAGGAAAATGAACGAATGGTAGTTATCAGGTTATTTCAGTTGGAAAAGAAAAGATAACAGATGGAAACACGAACTGCAGTTCCACCTTTTTGTCAACGTTCGACTAAAATCAAACTCTTACTAGCAAGATTTTAATTCTCAATCTCTCGGGAACAGTCATTAAAAATATTAATTTTAAATTCAGGTAAAATGAAAAACATACTCTCCCACTAAGAGCACGGACAGAAATGCGACGTGTAATAACGTCAGCCCTTCGTATTACAAAGTAATAGGGCAAGAACCGATAAATAATTGACGAAAACTCTTTGCTCTAAAAACGAAAAAAATTAAGAATCATGGGAAAATAATAGTCAAACAGTTTATAAATCTTCAAAGGAATGCAAAACATAACAATAAACACAAACAAATGATTTGATTTCTCACTGATTGTACATTCACTCTATTATCTCTCAAAAAACAAAGTCTAGTAGAAAAAAAAGTAAAAAATAAAACAAAACAAAGAACAGAAGGTTGAGAAAATGCTTTCGAGACAGATGACCTTTGCTGCATAGTGTCCATTGAAAATTTCAACATTTGCAACTTTAGATGAATAACATGCCAGAACCTGACTGACATTTCGTACCAACTTTTTACTAAAAAATTAAAATTATAGAAGAGATCATATATTCCTCAGAAAATCCGCCTCTCATCCATATCTTTATTCATGCTAGTCACAATGCGAAATAATTGATCTTAAAGATACACTGCTCAAATACCAAGCTAACATCATTTTTTTGGATTACACCATGTTACGGCTTTTTCCACACTTCCTTGAAAAATGTTTTATAACACCTGGTTGACCAGGGTGTTTTCGTTTTTCGATTATTTTCGTTTTAGCTATTTTATTACCGAAGATAATAAGGGGAATTTTACGGTTAAAGAGAAAGTAACCTCGGCAATTCATCAAATTTTGCAGCCAGCAATGATGACCATTTCACAACAATATTCAATAAATCTGTCAACTTGTCGTTCCTTCCTTTTTGAATATTGAAATCAGATTCAATGTCTTGGGCACACTTTTTTATATCCTGAAAGAAAAAGAAACAGGATTCTTAGCAAGGAGAATTTCTGATAAGTGAATTACATGAGGATGATAAATGTGCACTTTAATTCTTATCAGTTCATCTTCACAAAAGATATACAGTCTGAGCCGTTCTTCTCTATTTCCCGAGAGTGGACTCGACTACTGAGAAAATAATCAATTATCCGATATTTATTTCGAAAAGAAAAAGAGAAGAAATACCTCATTGATTTCGTCAAATCCAGTAAAATCATTCAACGAACATCGCCAGTTTATGATTTCGGTAAGAAAATCATCGGGGATCAAAAGAGTTGTTAAGGAAACAAGATTCTTATAAGCAAATCTGCAGTTCAGCATATCTTTTTAATAAAATTACGATTGTCGTTATAGTTATTTAATTTCATTCTCTATTTTTATATATTTAAACAGCAGATCGAATTCAAAGTTAGCTCCAAACACAATAAAAAAAACACAAATGTTTATCAAGCCTAACTTGTTGACCAAGCATGTAACAAATTTCAAACTAATTAATATATCTTAACTTCAAATAAAATTCCTCTAAGTATGAGCCTTTTTATCCTACTTGCTGAAAAACTACAAATATTCCAATACCTACCCGAACAATCGGTCCTTCAACCGGTTCACTTTATGCAGTGTGTGCTCCAACCAATGCTCTTTCATACCACTTAGTTCGACCAACAAACGACAAAGAGATGATATTTCGACAGGTCGGCTTTGATATAACTTTCTAATTATATCACGAAACAATTCCTGTGAAGTGACAGAGATACCTTGATCACTCTTCAAAGGATCACAAACTGAAAATTTGCGTATGAAAGACAAGGAAATAAAACATATTTTCCTATGCCTCAGAATTCGAAACCAAAGCAAAAACATCTAAACAAAACATAAACCTTCAACGCATCAAACATATTAAAAAATTAGAAGTAAAATAGATACCTTGGATGAACTATAAGATAATCACTTTCTTAGAATCTCTTACCGCTTGATAAGCTACCAATCGGTAGGTATAAAAATTTCAATATTTTGGAACTAACATATCACGGCGTACTCTATCCCAAACAATATTATTTGTCACGAAGAAAATACCAAATCACTAATAAAAATAGCGAATTAAATCTATAGATAGATGTTTTACTGCAACCTTCCCGACATGCATATTTCATCCCTCCTAATCATGCTACCTCAAGAGAGATCAGCAGACATCCTGTTCATAATAAGCACTAAAATTCTGTAGTGCTAATCCTATAAATTGGTAAACAAATACCAAGTCCGGTATACGATCATATACTTGCAGAAATCAGTAAATACAACCTGTAGATACATTTTGGACAATAAAATCAAGCGGCTGTGAGGCAGCAATAGCATAGAAAACTTGTTGTTCGCTTGATTCGCCAACATGTGAGATAATACGTGCAATGGCTACGGATGGACGTAGTTGTAATTCAGCAACCAATTGCGGTAACCTTAAATTCATCTGCGGATAGATTTTTGAAAATATTCGGCAGCAACTATTACTTTCTCGACACCTCATTGTAGTGCAATAGTAATGAAACTTGGGCACAATGAGTAACATATTTTCTGTAAGCTTCAAGTAGGCAGAAAAAACACTGCCAAATTTGGACTGTACAGCCCCAAATATGACAAGATGGTTGACAACGTAGACTTGTTCGATAAGTTACTGTCCAACAAGTTATAATATCCACAAACCGCAAAACTGGCAAATTCGATGAATGGGTCAGAAAAAAACTTGGTTAAAACTGTAAGACTAATTCAGAAGCTGAAAAAAAAGTGCTGAGATATAAACCTCATAAAAGCTAAAATAAAAAACGACAGCAAAAATTTTTGAAATGAACTACCAAGGCAACCAATTGTTTGCTGGTATACCAGTGCCGTGCTTTTCCAAATTCACGTCAACTTTCTTTTCAGCTATACTCCCATAAGCTGACAATTTCTAAATAAAGATAACTGCAAAGAATTATATTCACTAATATACAAATTTCAACTAGCAGATAATTGATAATTACGAAGGAGCAATTATTTCTAATAAAATTTCAGTGGAAGAAACCAATCAAAACTGACTTTCATAAGCCACAGTAATCGTGCAACATATTTTCGTGCTCTCAATTCATTCTCCATTCTAGCACCTTCCATTATCCCAACTAATGCCTCCATTCCTGCATTCAATGCGGCTTTCTCTGTGCTAAACAGATCTTTTGCGAATAATATAAAATAACAAGGATTTTACAAGGACTTGTTTATAAGGATCAAAGATTTGTCTGTTAGTCCAACTTTACAACTTTTTTGCTAGTAATGACTTTCATGAACTTCTACTTCAAGTGTATTTCAGAACAAAAAGGGCCAAAGAATTCAAAAATGACACACTTTTCAGCATCCAACCGACTTTCAAGAAAGTCAGCCCAGTGCAACCATACCGAGTTCCCACCAGCAACATTTTCATGCAGTAAAGCTGCAGTTTTAAACGAATGACTTGCGTCCTCATATCTAAAATTTGAGAAATGAACAAGCTTTGTTTGGAAACCAATGTAAATAACAAGCAAAAACACGAGAAATCCCAGAAAAATTTCCATCAGTATAATTCGACTCTATAATAAAAGATCGATAAGCAGGAATTTGTTAGACCCATTATTTGCTTATTAAGAATTATACCAGTATGACAATGTGGAAGATCAAAGGTTGGTCTAGATAACGTTTTCGAACTTACTTCTCGAGTTTCGTTAAGATTTTTCCACGCAAGGCGTAAAGTTTGGCAATATTTTCCTTGGTGAAAGTATTAATGGTTGTTCTTTGGACAACTGAGAACGCTTCCATTAATGCACTGTGTTGTTTCTCTTCCGTCAAATCAGGCGTGGATGCTCGTTGCACCAAACACTTCAAAAGCTCTCGCACCGAAAAATAAGCGTCCATCGCTGGTAAAGCCGGTAAAGTATGCATCCTCAATTTTTGTATTTTTAATTATAATTTAAAAAATCAATTTCATTGGAATTTAAATTTCATAAGCTCATTGTTTATGGATGCAAAAAAAAGAAAGCAGCAAGTTATTGTACGAATAGCATTTGAATTCTATGAAGCAAACAAAAAAACTAGAATTTAGTGAGCTAATAATACCTAATACAAATATTAAAGCAGAGCCAAAATTTCAAAAACTGCATACCTGCTTAGTTTATCAATAGCAGTATTTATGAGTCCTGCTTTTCGAGCAGCGCGCGCTATCATTAGCTGCGAATTTGCCGCCGAATAGAAAGGAAGTAAACCCTGTTGGAACTGACTCGATTGATTCTAGAATAAATTTTTCAGGTCTGAAGTTTTAAAACTATTTCACTAAAAAGCCATATATGGCGCGGAGAAAATCTATTTCATGCTCGTACCGCATTTATCCTTTTCTCTCATTCAACTCCTAAATCTTCCCATTCATTCTACTCTCGATTTTTCTCTATATCTTAGCCTCGCTGATTTATTTCCTTTCTTCTGAACTATCGCTACTACTATGGCAGGATTTATTAACTGCAAAAAGGGAAGTGCAGACGATCAAAGCCAAAATATGTTTCTTTTAAATCACATTTTATTATATCATTTGTTGGTTTTATTATATGAAACTACTTTCAAATTAAAATATGGTTAACAACCATTTGATTCATTAAATATTTCGGACCAGACTATGGTTAACAACCATTTGATTCATTAAATATTTCGGACCAGACTTTTGGAAATCATTGTTCGTGCCTTGATTAAGACTTACAAGCGTAACTTTTTCCTTTAGCAAACAAAAGCAAGAAAGCAAGACAAGAGACAAAATAAGGCTGAAAGGAAAGGGAGAGGGGAGAAAATGAATAGAACGATTTTTTTTTTGGTTGGAAAAACTGCTGTTTTGGAATGGAGGTTTTTAAGTTACTATTTTCCTAATTAACGAGTGAAAAGAATAAGCTAATTACTAACAGAATAAGGAAAACGGATGAAGGAAAAAGACAAATAATGCCAGCAACATCACGTGCTGTAATGCTCCTGCAGAGTTCGTAAGACATTCCAGACCGAGTTTTCGAGCCACAGTGCTCAGATCCAGATTCGAACTAGTACTTAGGAGTATTAGCATTCCTATCAGTAAAACATCGCCTTTGTGACTTACTATATGATTCAGGTTCGAAGTTGTCAAATACAATACCTAATCACTAGCAAGATAATATTTAGTTGAAGGAAAAAAAATACAATAGTAAAACAGGAGAATGTTGGTGTCAATATGGATTATTCCAGAAACTTACTAGATGTTGCAGGACTGTCATTTCAATCCCTAAATCTAAACTAGAATTTATATCAAGGGAATATTCCCCTCGTAAACTCCTCCTTTCATTATTACCATTTTGATATTACTACCGTCGACATCCTGTTTCCTCTTATTCCACTTTATCTATGTGACTTCACCCATTTTTTTAGTCTGTTTATTCATATCATTTGTTCCTATCTTCTACATATAAGTAATGTATTTCTTATATATTAAAAACTTATTATTTAAAATTCATCTTTTCTTGGCGTCCAAAATTATGAAAAAATATGAGTTTGTAAAATATAAAGTATAATGAACAAACCCCTTCCATCTGTTGAAGAAGTCTAATGGCAGTATTGTAATGATGAATGCGCCACTGATGAATGTCAGCCCAAAATGATAACGGATCTGATAAGGCATAGGATCGACTCCTAGAATCTTTATGTTTCTTAATAGGAATAAAAGTCTTAATAGGAATAAAAGTTCAGTTTCGTCGTGCTGTTCATTTTAGCACATATTTAACTTAGTCTCCAACAAAATGTGGACTTTCTAAATGATGTATTCGACGTATGTTGAGATGCTGAGAAGACAACCACAATCATATCAAATAGTCTGACCTGAACAAATACCCAACGGGTTTTTGTTGGTACATTCAAATGCAGGAAAATTTTATACTTCTGTATGGTCGCGAAGTGTCATAGCCTAACATCCTCTCCCTTCAACTCTTCGTTATGACAATCTCGCCCACTTACGCTAATGATCATGTATCATTTTTGCAAATTACTTTTGATACAGCTGCAACGTAGATAAAAACAAAAAATCTGGATTTCCACAGTATT